GCACCGGGAGCCTGACGTGGGATTCGATCCCGGGTCTCCAGGATCGCGCCCTGGGCCAAAGGCAGGCACCAAACCGCTGCACCACCCAGGGATCCCAAAATATGTAGATAATTTAAAAATTTATTGGTATAGTCAATTAAGAAAACTACAAAGTTTTATAAAAAATTTTAAAACAGAGCTACCATATTATCCAGCAAGCCCACTTCTATATATATCTCCAAGGAAACAGAAGCACTATCTCAAAGAGATATGTGCACTTCATATTCATTGCAGCATTATTCACAATAGCCATGAAATAGAAACAGCATAAGTGCTCACCAACATATGAACAGATAGAGAAAATGTGATATCTATATAACTATGTGTCTATGTATACACACACACACACCTATATAGTATATTTTGGGAGACAGAAGAAATGGGCAGATGTTTGTCAAAGGATACAAACTTTAGGTATAAGATGAACAAGTTCTGGGAATCTAATATACACCATGGTGACTATAGTTAATAATATACTATATTGTATATTTGAAATTTGCTAAGAAAGATCTTAAGAGACTAGTGTTCTCATCACACACACAAGTAACTATGTGAGGTGATGGGTGTGTTATTTATTTGATCGTGGTATTCATTTCACAATTAACATGTATATCAAATCATCATGTTGTACACCTTAAAAATACACAATTTTGTCAATTATATCCAGTAGAGCTGAACAATGACATAATTTGACATAAACCATTTTCCTATGGATATACACATATCCTATGACACAGCTGCTTCATTTCTAGAAATCTATTCTATAAAAATATTTACACAAATGTGCAAGAATTGATAAACAAGGGCAGCCTGGGTGGCTCAGTGGTTTAGCGCTCCCTTCATCCCAGGGCCCTGATCCTGGAGACCTGGGATCGAGTCCCACATCGGGCTCCCTGCATGGAGCCTGCTTCTCCCTCTGCCTGTGTCTCTGCTTCTCTTTCTCTCTGTGTGTGTCTCATGAATAAATAAACAAAATCTTAAAAAAAAAAAAAGAACTTATATGAGAGACCTGAAACCATAAGAATCCTAATACCACAGGCAGTAATTTCTCTGACATTAGCCATAGCAACATTTTTCTGGATATGTCTCCTCAGGTAAGGGAAACCAGAAGCAAAAATAAACTATTGGGACTATATCAACATAAAAAGATGGCTGGCACAGTGAAGGAAAGACTCAACAAAACTAAAAGTGGGAGAAGATATTTGCAAATGACATATCTAATAAAGGGTTAGTATCTAAAATATATTTTTAAAAACTTATATAACTCAACACCAGAAAGACAAATAATCCGATTTAAAAATGGGCAGAAGACATGAACAAACATTTCTCCAAAGAAGACATACAGATGGCCAATAGACATATGAAAAGATGCTCATCAATCATCAGGGAAATGCAAATCAAAACCACAATGAGATATCACCTAACACCTGTCAGGATCGCTAAATTAAAAAACTCAAGAAACAAATACCATTGGTAATGATGTGGGGAAAAAGGAAACTTCATGCACTGTTTTTGGGAATGCAAACTGGTGCAGCCACTGTGGAAGACAGTATGGAGGTTCCTCAAAAAATTAAAAATAGAATTACCATATGATCCAGTAATCACATTACTGGGTATTTACCCAAAGAATATGAAAACATTAATTCAAAGGTGTATGTGCATCCCTAAATTACAGGTGCAACTCAAGTGTCTGTGAACAGATGAATGGATGAAAAAGATGTAGTATGTATATACAATGGAATATTATTCAGCCATAAAAAGAAGGAAACCTTGGCACTTGCAAAACCATGAATGGAGCTAAAGAGTAATAAAATAAGTAAAATAAGCCAGTCAGAAAAACACAAATACCATATGATTTCACTCATATGCAAAATTTAAGAAACAAAACAAATGAACAAAGGGAGGAAAAAAAGGATAAACTAAGGGATTCCTGGGTGGCTTAGTGGTTAAAGCGTCTGCCTTCGGCTCAGGGCGTGATCCTGGGGTCCCAGGATCGAGTTCCACATCGGGCCTCCCTGCGTGGAGCCTGCTTCTCCCTCTGTCTGTCTCTGCCTCTGTGTGTGTGTGTGTGTGTGTGTGTGTGTATCTCATGAATAAATAAATAAAATCTTTTAAAAAAAGGACAAACCAAGAAACACCCTTAACTATAGAGAACAAACTGGTAGTTAGCAGGAGGAAGGTGGATGGGGGATAGGTGAAATAGATGAAGAGGATTAAGAATACACTTATCTGGATGAGCACTGAGTAATATACGGAATTGTTGAATCACTATATTGTACACCTGAAACTAATATAGCGTTGCATGTTAACTACACTGGAATTAAAATAAAATAAAAACAAATATGATAAAATAGGTTGGAGTAGACTTTCATCTTTCTATCCTTCAGTTTCTCCAATGGTAAGTCCACGTAATTGGAAGAAACTGCATCTAAAGACTTGAATAGGGCAGCCCAGGTGGCTCAGTGGTTTTAGCGCCACCTTCAGCCCGGGATGCAATCCTGGAGACCCGGAATCAAGTCCCATATCGGGCTCCCTACATGGAGCCTGCTTCTCCCTCTGCCTGTGTCTCTGCCTCTCTCTCTGACTCTGTGTCTCTCATGAATAAATAAATAAAATCTTTAAAAAATAAAGTCTTGAATATCTAAAGTTCTACCGTTTTATTGCTTTGAATTTCTAATAATAATATTACTTAAAAACCTTAAAAATTTCATTCTTTCACCTAGCAATTTCAATTTTAGCTATCTCTTGTCTGATGAGCTAAAGAGAAAACATTACTTATAAGTGCAAATATATTAGAAAGAACTCATATTTATATAGATTATTTGTTATATAGGTTATTTTTCAAAATAATTTTTTTGTTTTTTGATCTGTCCCACAGAAAAAATCACAGCCATTTAAATGGATCTATGCTTATTTATTATATGGAAAGTTGACTAACATATAATGTTAATAGGAAAAGGTAACAAAACTGTATGCATGTGAGTCCATGTATATTTTTTAAAATGTGTTCCTGGCATGTGTATATACCACACACACACACACACACACACACACACCCTAGAAAAATCCTAGATAAATATATATAAAAAGGCCAAAACTCAGCTCTAAGTAGAGAGAATACACATAATTTTTAGTTTCTTCTGTATTTTTATTTTCTCCTGTACTTTCAGAGAATAAATTATTTCCACTTTGAATAATTATCTTAATATAAATCTCCAAAAAATTAAGTCAAGACAATTAACATAGATAAACATGTCAGAAAAAATAGAGCTGATTCTTAACCTTTCTAAAAGTTTGGTTTATATTCATTATTTTATTTTTATACCTTCTGAAAGCTGACTACAGTAGGCACTCAAAAAATGTGGTAGTGACTTGGACAGATGGACAGATGGATACATGCACACTATTGCAACTTGTCAATTTGATGCAGGAACACAGGGCTAGCTAAGGACAAGGCATGAGCCCAAGGCAGCACATTGACAAGTCCTTGAAACAGGCAAAGGGACATTCCCCTACAGACTCAACTGCCTCGATGTTAATACTTTGCTAAGGGCAAAAGGCAGTCTTAGTCCGACCCCCAGGATCCTGTAAGTCCACTTTAACATATAAAATTTCCTTTAGAAATTTCCTTTCTCTCAAAACCCCCCAAGGTACGTGTTGGCTTTTACTCCCCAAGTACATGGCCCACCGATATACATCTGAAGGGTCTCATAACTAAGATTTTATTAGACAATAATAAGTGACCTTTTCCCAACAATAAGCTAGTCCCCTCAAGGTCCTGGAAACCTTGCTTCCAAAATTCCTTAGAGAGTACCTCTCTCAACTTCCAGGTATATAATCAGCCATGCCTCACAGGCGGGGGGCAGCAGCTCTTCCTGCCCATGGGTCCTGTCCCCGTGCTTTAATAAAACCACCATTTTGCACCAAAGACATCTCAAGAATTCTTTCTTGGTAGTTAGCTCTGGACCTCACCCCACCAAACCTCACCTATATTCCAAAACTTCATCAAATTCAATACTATTAGATTGCTTAGTAACATTCTATTGGTGGTAACATCCTCTCCTAGGATTTTCCACCTACAAATCTTTTATAATAATAAATCCACATCTTATATTTGAGCAGCTTGATACTTTCAACCTTGAAGTACTAGTTTGCATTTATGTGTACTGAATTTATTTTATTTCTGACCACCCCTTCAACTTATCTCTACCATTTTTATTCTAAACTTGTCTCTCCTCCTAACAAGCTTGGAATGGTCTGTAAATGTAATTAGTTCTCTATTATCTACTTCTTTGATTAAAGTACTGAACACTGACTACAAACGAATAAGTCCTTTTCTAGATGTTTTTAATTGAAGTTATTAGGATTTTGATTTGCATTTCCTTGACTAATGATGACAGAATATATTTTTACATGATTATTGGCTATACACATTGTCTTCTATGTGAAACACTTGTCCATGTGTCTTACCCACTTTTCTAGTCCATTCTTTTACTGATTTGTATGAGTTCTTTACACATTCTATAAACTAATCCTTAGCCAGTTCTGTGAATTGCAGATATTTTCAAGTTAGTAACTTATCTTTTTACTTTAAGGTGTCTTTTGATAAATTAAAGTCTTAATTTTAATATAATTAAATATATTAATCTGTTCTTTAATACTTAACATTTTTGCCTTAAGAAATTTTCCCTATGTCATCCCTATACCATACAATTAGCAAAAATTAAAAGTCTAAAAATGCCAAATGCTGATGAAAGTATGTCATAATCCAATCTATTAATTAACAATCCTATTAGGTACCTGAGCCCAATTTTTTATTATCATTATCATAAATGTACAAAAAAAGTTTTATAGTGCATTATAAAGCTTAGCTTTCCTATGATTTGTAATTAACCTGACCAAAATATAACTTACATCTATATTTTCAGACCTTAAACTAATAATGCAAACATAAAACTTACCATCAATATCAATAGTCTTTAGTGCCTTTTGCATTTCCAAATCACTTATAAAAATCTTGAAGGTGTGATGGATTGTTGGTAGATCATTCACATAAATCTTACCACTCTGAATTTTACTGAAAATTTTACGGGCCTTCTCAAGTGCTAAACACACACACCTAAGCAGTTAGTTAATGCAAATAATAATTATCTTATTTCCCCTACACCCTCTCTCAAGGAAAAACAATAATCACTAAAAGAAGAAAGAGGAGTAAATCTTTCTATTCTAATTCTCTGCTTTAAAATCAATCTCATGACTTATGTAGGTATGTCTAAAGTGAATGGCCTCCAAGTCTTTAAGTTTCCTAAAGAACTCTCGAACCGTGAAAAAAATCATGCAAAATTCACATGGTAAAGGCTTCCATAACTTTCCCTGGGAATGTTGAATCCTTCTGTGCTCACCTATCACTTGGTATGTATCTCAGTCAAAGCTCTTGGTATATTGTGACTGTTTGCATGTTAATATCCCTCACTAAACTGTCAATTTCTAGAGGGCAAGATATTTTGTTCTTTAGTGTCAATGTCTAATTCAGGATAGATCCTCAAAAAATGTCTGAACTGAATTTAGTCCAGTGGATACTACACTTAGTTTTCAAAAACAAAGGTGCTAGATGACAGTAGTAAATCCAGAGAAAGACTAAAATATTGATAATAATGACTTTAATAATAGGAGTTTTAATAGAATATTGGAAATGGAAATAAGGTTTCAGTGAGATGGAAAGTAAATAAATAATTAAGGAAAACAACTCTTTCAAGAAGCTTCTTTGAAAAACGGAGTATAAAACTGACATAGGCCTGGGGCCCCTGGGTGGCCCAGTAAGTTAAGAGTCAAACTCTTGGTTTTGGCTCAAGTAATGATCTCAGGATTGTGAGATCAAGCCCCTCATTGGCTCCACACTCAGCAGGGTGTCTGCTTGAGATTCTCTCTCTGCCTCTCTCTTCTCTCTTTACTCCTCCCTCCTCCTGTTCACACTGCTCCCCCCTCTAAAATAAATATATCTTTTAAATTGACATAGTCCCTGAAGAAGTAGAAGAAAACTGAAGGAAAGAAAACTGAGAGTGAAGGTATTAGTCTCAAGAAGGGCATCTTCACCAATGAGACAATACAGAAGGCCATAGATATTGTATACAATCCTAAGAGTTCTCCTCACAAGGAAAAATGTTTTCCTTTTTTTCCTGTATTTACATGAAATGATGGATATTAACTAAGCTTATTGTGGAAATCACTTCATAGTATATGCAAGTCAAGTCATTATGCTGCACATCTTAAACTTATATAGTGCTACATCTTAATTATATCCCAAAAAACTGGGGTATAAAAGATACCTAATATAGGGCATCTGGCTAGCTCGTTAGTAGAGCATGCAACTACTGATCTTGGGGTTATGATTTTGAGCCCCATGTTGGGCATAGAGATTATTTTTATTTTTTAAAATATTTATTTATTTATTTATTTATTTGAGAGAGAGAACAAGCAGGAGGAGTGGCAGGGAGAGGAAGAGGGAGAAGCAGGTTCCCTGTGGAGCAGGGAGCCCGATGCAGGGCTCATTGCGGGGCTTGATGCCATCATGGCCTGAACCAAAAGCAGACACTTAACCTACTGAGCCACACAAGCTCCCCTACAGATTACTTTTTAAAAATGCCTAATATGATGACCAGAGTTAAGATACGAGGAAAACTATGCCAAATGATTCCCTTAAATATAGAGGAGAAGCCCAAGATATGGGAGAGCTCAGTGTCAAGAAGTGAAGAGTACTATGATTCTTAATATTAAGATACCAAGAACTAAATCCCAGTAAAATGAGTGACTCCAGTGCTTACTAATGTATTCATTAGATATAATATCAGACACTTTTCCAAAAAAATTGAACTAGAATAAGCACATATGTTATATTTTGCCTATCTCATCAATACAACAGAAGATATTCATGAATACTTAGTTTACTTATGCTTGCTCACAGGCTATAGCATTTGTCATATCATGTAATATTAGTTGATATCATATGCCATTAGGAGTAAAGAGACACTAACCACTGAAACAATTCCTAAAAAAGCACACAATCAGGAAACTTATTCAAGAAATCCTAGAACCTATTATTACCACTTAGTTCTTGTGAGTATAAGTGTCCTTGAGGTACTTCATTATATAATGTCTTGTAGAGGCTAGAAATCATTTCCCTTTTCCTGTCAAAGAAATAGCCACATTAGAAAGCAGCACAAAGACAAATCAAAACCATACACAATGCCATTTTTCCATTAAAGTATTAGCAAACCTAGTAATGGCTTGAGATTCTCCAGTCTCTTACTCCGTAAAAACCTTTCTTAAAGAACTGTCCAAGTGATAGTGAATCACACATTCTTCATCCCAGAATTCCCACCTTGCTTCTTTTAGGTGTTCTAGGGAGCAGAATTTACCCTAGTCAGTAAGTCGTGCCCATGACCCACCATCCTTTGGTTGTGGTCCAATTTTTACTACTCTTAATTCAAGTCACAGCAAATTTTCAGAAAGTTATTATAATAAGGAAAAACAAGAATATCTTTGAATAACAAATATCCCAGATTCCACAATCTGCCAGTAAAAACATTTTGAAAAGATGATTTATCTAATCCTATAACATATAAATAACTGAAATCATAGATTTAGGGTTAGGGTTAAAAGAAATCTCAAGAGTCCATCTAGTATAAGATTCTTGTACAGATGTGGAGACAGGCCCAGGGATATAAAGTGAATTGTACAAGAGCCTAAGATAGCATATGAGGTTAATTAGGACTCAATTCTAAGTCTTTCATTTCCGTATACACTGGGCTCAGCTCTACACCACCTTCCTAAGAGCATACTTTTAGTTTGCACAAACTATTTTGCACACTTTATGTGGAAAGGATAGATGATTCCAAAAAGAAAAACCTCAAATCTGAATGCAACAATTAGGGAAAAAATACAATTATTTAAATACCCAATAACTGAGGAAGATGTACAAAGGGGTGATAAAGTCTTGTGAATGCTGTACTGATTCGGCAACTTGAATAAACAGTTTTCTTTCCTAGTCATCTTCTTTGACATCTTCACTGAGGAAGAAGCAAACTAGAGCCAAATACAAGAATGTGGTAGCTGAGATCACATTAATAAACCAGCATTATTGGACAATAAACCTCTCAAAAGATAGGCTCATCATATCATATCTAGGTTCCTTACTGATACAAAATTGCTTTTTGTAATGAAATTAGTTTATATATACTAAAATTTGAAAGAAACTAAATAATTTTTTTGCAAAGCCACATTTTTCTAAGTATGCAACTAAATCATCTTCTAATTAATATTGTGTCAATTTATAATAATGGATTTTACAAAGCAGGGAAAATCTATGGTATAGTGAAGACAAGACCACCAGATTCTAGGCTATAATATATAGGCTTTGGCTATATAGCAAAATAATGTAAAGAACCAAAAATGTTATTCAAATAACACAGGTAGCTATGCTTTATTCTTATGATTGAGAAAATGATCCACTTAACATGTATGTATAAACATGATTCAAAAGTGGCAAGTAGATAGACAGAAAGCATCACTTTAGAAAATGAGAACTGTAATATTAGGTATCTTCAATTTTACATGGAATCTAGAGCCTTATCTTTTAAAGACCATGTAGGATGTAGAAAGAAGACCCTACAAAAAGACCATAGAAGATCAGTAAGAATTGGTCCTGAGATCTCACATAGAGCAAAAGTTTAAAAAGGCAATGTTACCACCAAAAGTAGCCTGGGGAAAAAAATACAACAACAAATCAAAACAATTTATCTCCCAAAAGAAGTATGCAAAGTAAAATTTATCTTTGTCTCAGCTCTAGGCTGGAAAAAAAAAGGAGAAGAAAGAATACTTCTCTTGATTAGTTTTAACTATAGCTCTAGCCACATATGAGCATAGAATTCAAATCTACACTAAATATATGGGATAGGAAAAGAGAAACCAAAAAATTCATTTAAAGTGATCCCATGTTTGGGATGCCTGGGTGGATCAGTGGTTGAATGTCTGCCTTTGGCTGAGGGCGTGATCCCAAGTCTTGGGATCAAGTCCCACAACAGGCTCCCTGCTTCCAGCCTGCTTCTCCCTCTGCCTATCTCTCTGCCTCTCTCTGTGTGTCTCTCATGAATAAATAAAATCTTTTTAAAAAAAAGTGGTCCCATGTTTGTAACACCTCTGAAGTGCAGGGCAGAAGCGAATTCAAGTTCTCTTGTAAAAGGATACTCTAAATCTAGACTCATCATGAGATTCCCACAGATTTAGATATAACTTAATGAGTGAGAATCAGACAAAGCAATAAACAGAAGATTTGGATCCCTCAAGGATTTTATATTAGGTTTATCGGATATCTAGAAACAACTATGGAACGTGAGCAAAGAACACAAAAGGAGGGATATTATGAGAAGAACCAAATAAAATTTCTGTAAGTAAGCACTAAAATTAAAACTCGATAGATTAAACTGCAGATTAGATTCAGCCGGAAAAAGAAAATCTAGAAAACAGTTGGGAGAAATTGCCCACACAAAATAGAGAGTGTATCTAAATACATCATATATTGAATACAGTAGGTTGAATGGCAGCCCCACAAAAGATATGCCCATATCCTAATCCTCAGAACCTGTAAATACGACTTTATTTGGATAAAAGATCTTTGCAGATGGAACAAAGTCAAGGATCTCAAGATGAGATCTCAATGACAGCTTATAGAAGTAGAAGGAGACCTGAGATACAAACACAGGGGAGAAGACCATAAACGGAGCAAGATGGTGGCCAAGAATGAAGTTATGTTGCCACAGCCAAGGAACCCCTAGAGCCATTGTTACAACAGGAGAAGTATTAACAGAGGGCACAGTAATACAAATAAAGGTGTAATAGAGAAAGAAGGGGGAAACTCTAAATCATAGGAAACAAACTGAGGGCTGCTGGAGGGGAGAAGGGTGAAGGGATGGGGTAACTGGGTGATGGGCATTAAGGAGGGCACTCGATGTAATGAGCACTGGGTGTTAAGACTGATGAATCACGCACTGAACTCCACCTCTGAAACTAATAGTACTATATGATAATTAATTGAATTTAAATAAAATTTTTAAAAAGAAATAAAAGATTGTGACATTTCAATACTTGAACTAAATTGTGATGGAATGTTTGAAAGCTAAAAACAACATTAAAAAGTAAAATATATATTTCCAGATCATTATTTACCTCAGTTCTTTTAGTATGCAATTGTACTTGTAAACTTTTCTTTCTCCTGACCTCTTTTTCTCCTGAAAAAATCAGAGGATTTTTCTTCACCACAGAGGAATATTGACGTTTCATACCTAAATTGCACAGAAAATTGAAATAATACCTGAATTGCTTTTTTTCTTACTTGTTTAAATCTTTTATTTGTAGAAATTTTCAAACATAAACAAAAGTAAACAGAGTAATGTGATGGTTTTCCCATGTACCCATCACCCAGCTTCAATAATGGGCAATCCTATTTCATCCATATCCCTATCCTTACTCCCATTTCTTATTACTTTGAAGCAAATTCCAAGATCGGATTATTTCATGTGTAAAGATTTAAACATGAATTTCTACAAGATGTTTTTTCTTTTTAAAAACATTTAAAACATGATTATGACTCTCAGAAAATTAACAATAATTTCTTAATATTATCAGTGTTCAAATTTCCAATGTTTCATAAATGTCAAAATTTTTTAACACTTTGCATCAGGAATCAGTAGGGTCCCCATTACAGTTTGTTGATGTGTCTTTTAGATTATCTTTTATCTATAGGTTCTCCTTCCACGTCTTTTATAATAATCATCATCATCATCATCCCCAGGTGATTTGTCTTAGATATTTTCCACTCTGGATTTTGCTAATTATATCACCATGGTTGTAGAATTGTAAAGACTTGATTGGATTAACGTTTTTTTGTTTTTTGGCAAAACCACTATATTGAGGTTAGTACTTTCCATTGGGAGGCATGTTATGCATAAGTAGTTCTCTAATTGTGTTATTACCTGCTATACTTATACATAATAACTAGACTCAGCAAATCATCAGGGACTATAAACTCTTTATATATAAATCTATCATTCCTTCTTCACTCATTACTAGAATATTTCTATAAAGAGAAACTTCCTCTTGGGTACTATTTGATTACCCAGTGGTATAGTTCATACAGAAAGGCAGGATAATTACTTTATTCTTTCCCTTTATTTACCACTTTTCATAACAATGATTTGGCTCACTTGACAAAATAATTTTATATCATTTTTTACACCTGGATTTACACACATTAAATTCATCTTACTTCCTTGTAATTATTATCCTTATTGATGTCCTAATTATTTCATGTATGATGGGAGCCTCTTCAAGTAGGCTCTTGAGTCCTGTTGATGCATCCCTGGTAGGAGTCTTTGTTAGTTTCCTTATTTCTGTAGCACCAGATGCTCCAAGCTCATCTGTACATTTCCTTTCCCAGACCTGCAATCAGTTATTTTTCCAAAGAAATGGTTCCCTTTAATAAGAAATGATCATTCAGACTAAAATCTGGGCACTAGAAGCTGGAATGCTTTTCGGTAATTATCCTGCTTCCTTATTACTTGATTTTTTTTCTTGTTTCTGCTTCTTTTCCTTCTTCTTATTGGACTGTCAAGAACTTATGTCATGCAAACATCCCATTAAACTATACAACAATGAAATGAGTACAATAAGCCTGAATTAAATTTGAAAGAGAAAATCCCTTAGAAATTGAACACTTTGCTTCAAGTAATCAAAGGTAGACCTAAAACTCAAGGACAACCTTAAAATTACTTTGTGCTTCTGGGACTCTGTAGACTAGGAATAATTCTGAGCTAGGCAAGACTCAAACTTGTCTGCCCTTTGGAGTCACCTGGGAGCTTTGAAAATACTAACACCTGTGTCCCATTCCCAAATGTATGACTTAGTTATTTTGGGGAACGGGCTGATACTTGTAATTTTTTAAAAATAGCCAGGTGTTTATAGTGGCATTATCTACAATAGCCAAATTATGGAAAGAGCCCAGATGTCCACTGACTGATGAATGGGTAAAGGAGATGTGTTACAAATATATAAATATATATATATATATATATATGCAATAGAATATTACTCAGCCATAAAAAATAATGAAATCTTGCCATTTGCAACAACACGAATGTGGTTATAGAGTATTATGCCAGTGAAACCAGTCAGAAAAGGCAAATACCATATGATTTCACACTCATATGTGAAACAAAAAATTATAGTGGGGAAAAAAGAACAAAACCTAGAAACAGACTCCTAACTACAGAGAACAAACTGATGGCTACCAGAAAGGAGGTGGATAGGTGGATGGGTTTAAAAAAAAAAAAGTGATGGGGTAGAGTCTTAATGTGCAAATTTGAGAATTACTATGCAAACAACCACAGTCTCATTCCTACCCAGAACCCACATCAATTGGTCTATAACTCAGTCTTTTACAAGAAATAATTTATTATTCCTTACAAAGGACCAAAAAGCAAAACTAAAAACTCTTTAGCAGCCTTGCTATCCAAGGGCTATTTAGGTCATACATAGGACAATGAATGGATTGAATATATAACAGCTTTAGATAAACTTGGCTCTAAACAAAATTGTGATATAAAGGTAATTTTTATCATACACACCACTCCCCTTCCTTTACAGGTAGCTTGCCCTTTTGACTCTCTATCCCTTTATATTCAATCCCCTGAATTCCTACCCTGAGAATGACCTTACATTGCCCTTCGCCACTATCCCACCCCCATGAATTTGCCCTATGATTCATCTCCTCTGTAGTTTTCCACTCACAAAGGTAATGACTTTAACTATTTTGATTATGACCCAGAATACAAAATACATTTCTACAAGATGTAGTACACATATACAAAGAGACAAAGAACTGAAATAATTTCACAATACTTATTATGTGAAAAAAAGACTAAGGTTTTCAACATTATTCTAATTTCTTTTTAAACAAAATACCCGTAGTGACCTCCTAAGTTGATTTCATAACACACAGATGAGTCATAATCTACGGTCTACTGCTACTTTACATCCCCCATCCTCTCTCCATATATCTCCATTGAAAGGATCTTCATATTTCTGAAATAATTATGACTTCCACAACACTACATGATTTTTAAAATCTTTTCTCATTTTCCTAAAGTATAAGTGTATTTTAGTTATGAGTTGCTTCAAATATTTTATAGAATTTGGATGACTTACTATAATGAATAAGTAAAAACATTTATTCTGTATCCTATTCCTCTAGGGCATTGTGCCCTCAGGTGTTAACCTATTATATACAATGCTAATAAAAGAAAATAAAGGAACACTTCTACCACCTCCCATTCTTCTCTGAGTGATAAGTTTTATTGTGGTGTTCTAGAAATAACTATCTTGCCTTTCATCATCTAACACAAAGGAATAGTGAGTACCCCCATGACACTATCAGCAGATTTGTCAGCAGAAACCTGCAGGCCAGAAGAAAGTGGTATGATAAATTCACAGTGCTGGCGGGGGGGGGGGGGGGGGGGGGGAACTGCCAACCAAAATACCCTATCCTGTAAAGCTGTCCTTCAGAATGGAAGGACAAAGAGTTTTACAGACAAAAAAAAAGGTGAAAGGAGTTCATCACATTAGATTGGCCTTATAAGAAGTGTTAAAGGGAGTTCTTCAAGCAAAATGAAAGAATACTAATTAGTAACATGAAAACAAATCTTACTGGTAGATGTAAATATATACTTCAGAATATTCTAACATTGTAATGGTGGTAGGTAAAAGACATGTAACTCTCATATAAAGGTTAAAAGGCCAAGGTATTAAAAATAACCATAGCCACAATAATCTGTCAATGGATACACAATATAAAAATATGTAAATTTGGGGGGATCCCTGGGTGGCGCAGCGGTTTGGCGCCTGCCTTTGGCCCAGGGCGCGATCCTGGAGACCCGGGATCGAATCCCACGTCGGGCTCCCGGTGCATGGAGCCTGCTTCTCCCTCTGCCTATGTCTCTGCCCCTCTCTCTCTCTCTCATAAATAAATAGAAATTAAAAAAAAAAAACTGAAGATAAATGGCCAGACATTCTTTATTTGTGGATTAGAAGAATTAATATTGTTAAAATACCATACTATCCAAAGTGATCTATGGATACAATGCAATTCCTATCCAAATTCCAGTGGCATTTTTCACAGAAATAGAAAAAATATTCCTAAACTTTGTATAGAACCACAGAAGACCTCAAAGAGCCAAAGCAATCTTGAGAAAAAGAGTAACACTTCTAGAACATAAGCAATAAGCTCTTTGACATTGGTGTTGACAGTAACTTTTCAGATTTGATACCAAAAGCAAAGTCAACAAAAGCAAAAATGAACAAGTGGGACTACATCAAACTGAAAAGTTTCTGCACAGCAAAGGAAACCATCAGCAAAATGAAAACACAAACTACGGGATGGGAGAAAATATTTGCAAAACCAAATATCTGACAATTTGATAGTCAAAATATACAAGGAACTCCTGCAACTTAATAGGAAATAAACAAATCATCCAACTGGGGCACTGGCTCCATGGTTGAGAGTCTGCTTTTTGGCTCAGGGTGTGATCCAAGAGTCCTGGGATCGAGTCCCACATCAGGCTCCTTGCAGGGTGCCTGTTTCTCCTTCTGCCTATGTCTCTGCCTCTGTCTCTGTGTCTCTCATGAATAAATAAAATCTTTATTAAAAAAAACATAATCCAATTTAAAAAGGACTTGAATAGACACTTTTCCAAAAAAGATATACAAATGGCCAACAGATACATGAAAAAGGTGCTCAACATCCCTCATCATCAAGGAAATGCAAATCAAAACCACAATGAGATATCACCTCACAGCTGTTAGAATGGCTATTTTCAAGAAGAAATGAGTATTGGCAAGAATGTTTCTTGTGCACTGCTGGTGGGAACATAAATTGGTGTGGCAACTATGGAAAACTTTGGAGTTTCCTCAAAAAATTAAAATGTGGGATCCCTGGGTGGCGCAGGGGTTTGGCGCCTGCCTTTGGCCCGGGGCGCGATCCTGGAGACCCGGGATCGAATCCCACGTCGGGCTCCCAGTGCATGGAGCCTGCTTCTCGCTCTGCCTGTGTCTCTGCCTCTCTCTCTGTGTGTGTGACTATCATAAACAAATAAAAATTTAAAAAAAAAGTTTAAAAAAAATTAAAATGTAACTACCATATGATCCAGCAATTCCACTTCTGGGTATATATATTCAAAGGCAATGAAAACAGGATCTCAAAGAAATATCTTCACTTCTGTGTTCACTGCAGCATTATAATAGCCAAGATATGGAAACAATCTAAATGTCTATCAACAGATAAATGGTTAAGGATGTGATCTCAATCTCTCTCTTTCTCTCTCTCTCTCTCTCTCTCTCTCTCTCTCTCACACACACACACACACACACACACAGGAATACTATTTAGTCACAAGAAAGAATGAAATCCTGCCATTTTTGACAACATGGATGTACCGTGAGAGCACTATGTGAAATAAAATAAGTCAAATAGACAAAGGCAAATACTGGATGATCTCACTTATATGTGGAATCTAAAGAAAGCCAAATTCATAGAAACAGAGAATAGAATGGTGATTTCCAGGGGCTGCAGGCAGGGGAAATAAGAATAGGGAGAGGCTAATAAAAGGGTACAGACCTTCAGTTAAAAGATAAATAATAAGGTCTGTGAGTCTAATATGGAACATGATGACTATAGTTGATAATACTGTATTGTAAAATTGAAATTTACTAAGAGAGTAAAACTTCAGTGTTCTCACCAAAAGTAAATAAGATAAATATGTGAAATGAGTAAAAGATGGTAATCATTTCACTATGTAAACATATATTTGTAATCACATTGTACACTTAAATTTATTATTTTGTCAAAAAAAGACAAGCTTACTGACATATGGATAATTGCCCTCCTATAACTGGACGTCTATGATGGTTTATAGGCTTCTATTTGGTTGTGAGAGAAGTGAGAAAAAAATGAAAAGAATGGCTATCTAGAAATCAAAACTACACTCCGAAGAAATGGCCACAAAAAAGCATGATGTCTATATTTAGTACATTATGAGAACTTATGAGCTACATTTTTTGTTTTCTCAAACTTGCGGAAGTATAATTCAACTAAGTAAGTTCAAAGTTTGTATTTTTTTGGATTCTAGTCTCAAACCCCTATTTTCATGTGAAATTATCTTCTGTGTTGTTTTAGAAAACTTGATGTCTTTCTTGTTGTCCATATGTCTTGATGTCAAGTTGGTTACAAAAGAATTACAGCCATGATCTGATAAATTCATATTGTTTTTCTGCCTGTGGAGCAACCAAGAGGCAGAGTCAACTATGTTCTCTTTGCACATATAAATTAAATTTTGACATTCTAGGTCAAATCATTCATTGTTGATCAGCATTTTCTCTAAAATGATGCTACCAAACAGAATTTTATCGAAGGATTTAATTATTAGTGCATTGGTACAGATTAGGTACATATTCTAAACACCACCAACTATCTTCAGTGCATTATGCAACTATAAAATGCCCAATATTCATGAATGTATCTAACAGCTGTTGAATCTGGTTCTTAAGGCATCTTAAGCTTATTTCATTAAAAACTGTTCTGTAAAAGACACTCTCAAGAGGATGAGAGGATGAGCCACAGACAGAGAGTAAATATTTACAAAAGTCATATCTGATAAGGGGCTGAATTTTTTTGTATATTCAAAAATATACAATTCTTAATAATAAGAAAAAACACAACCCAACTTAAAAATGGGCAAAAGAGGGACACCTGGGTGGGCTCAGTGGGCGTGATCCCAGGTCCCGGGATCGAGTCCCACATCAGGCTCCCTGCGAGGAGTCTGATTCTCCCTCTACCTATGTCTCTCTCTGCATCTCTCAGGAATAAATAAAATCTTTTTTAAAAAACGGCAAAAGATCAAGGTGCCTGGGTGGTTCAATCAGTTAAGTGCCCGACTCTTGGTTTCAGCTCAGGTCATGACCTTGGGGTTGTGAGGTTGAGCCCCACAAAGGGCTCTGTGCCCAGCATGGAGCCAGCTTGAGATTCTCTCTCTGTCTCCCTCTGCCCCTCCCCCACTTGTGCATGTTCTCTCTCAAAAAAAGAAAAATAGGCAAAAGATCTTTTTTTTATTGGAGTTCAATTTGCCAACATATAACACCCAGTGCTCATCCCGCCAAGTGCCCCCCTCATTGGGCAAAATATCTTAATAGACACCTTTCCAAAGAAGATGTACAGACAGCAAAGAAGCACATGAGAAGATGCTCAACATCAGGTCATTAGGAAATTGCAAATTAAAACATCAAGATACCGCTACACATCTATTAGAATAGCCCAAATCCAAAATACTGACAAAACCAAATGCTGGCAAGGATGTGGAGCAAGAGGAACTCTCATCCATTGCTGGTGGAAGTGCAAAATGGCATGGCCACTTAGACAGTTTGGTAGTCTCTCACAAAACTAAACATACTCTTACCATATGTTGCAACAATTGCACTTATTGGTATTTACCTAAAGGAGTTGAAAACCTATATGCACACAAAAACCTGCACATTGATGTTAACAGCAGCTTTATTAATAATTGCCAAAGCTTGGAAGAAAATGTCCTTCGGTAGATGAATGGATAAATGAAGTGTGGTATATCCAGAAAATGGAACACTACTTGGCACTAAAAAGAAATGAGCTATTGAGGGATGCCTGGGTGGATAGGGGTTGAGCATCTGCCTTCGACTCAGGTCATGATCCGGGGGTCCTGGGGTTGAGTCCCACACTGGGGTCCCCAGGGGAGCCTGCTTCTCCCTTTGCCTATATCTCTGCCTCTCTCTCTCTCTCTCTCTCTCTCTCTCTCTCTCTCTCTCACTGGGGTCCCCAGGGGAGCCTGCTTCTCCCTCTGCCTATTATCTCTGCCTGCCTCTCTCTCTCTCTCTCTCTCTCTCTCTCTCTCTCTCTCTCTCTCCCTCATGAATAAATAAAATATTTTTTAAAAGACATGAGGTATTGAGACATGAAAAGACGTGGAGGAGTCTTAAATGCATTACTAAGTGAAAGAAGCCCTTTTGCAAAAGCTGTCATATGATTCCAACTATATGACATTCTGAAAAGGCAAAACCACGGAGACTAAAAAGATCAGTGGTTGACTGTGGTGATTGGGCAGGGGAGAGGGGTGAGATGAATAAGCAGAGCACAGAAGATATGCAGGGCAGTGCAACTATTCTATATAATAAGGGCAACATGTCACTATGCATTTGTCCAAATTCATAGTATGTACAATACTGAGTCAATCCCAATGTAAACTATGGACTTTGGGTTACAGTGATATGCCAGTGTAGGTTCATTGATAGTAACATATGTACCACTGTGGTGCAGGGTGTTGATAGTGAAGGAGGCTACACAGGTATAGGGGCAGGGAATGTAATTTTGCTGTGACTCTAAAACTGCTCTAAAATATAAAGTCTCTCTTTGAAAGAAAAAAAGCAGCAGCTATATTACTTCTAAATAGACACACACACACACACACACACACACACAACAAAAAGGAACTAAAGCCTAGGAGCAATGAACATGTTTAGAAAAAGAGGAATGAAGTTAGAAATATATTCTTTCGAAATTTGGCTGTTTGCTTAAAGCAACTGGAATGCATCTAGTTGATCAAAGGTATATTAATTTTTAATCCCTGAACAAATTACACAGGCAATTTATAAAGCAGATCACTAAGGGAGTTTAGAGAACCTCTATATCTGCATACAATGGAAATTAAGGGAACTAATTTAAGGACTTTTAGGGTCTGCATACATTTGTCTTACAACAGAGGCACATCTTTAACAACTTGCTTCAAAAAAGCGATCTGATTTGCTGCCTTAATGAGATATTTATTAGGAATGATGAAAAATTTCTTAGAGGCATTGAGAAAAATGACTCAAAATAGAAACTAGGAAGATAAGAGGAAGATCTAAAAAGATAGAGAGGCACAAAAACCTGTTATCAAATACCAGATGAACAGAAGCAGTTAAACAGCGGACACTTTAATGATCCAGAACAGGAAACAATCTCTGAAACTCCATGGTTAGAGATGTATGAAGTATAAACTATATAGCTAAAGTGGTATGCTATATTACCACTTTAATAAGTGGTATGCTATATTAATATAGCATTAAGTGGTATGCTATATTAATATCATTAATTTATTTTAATTTTTAAGAATTCACCTTCAACATCAGTTTATGAGGGCACAATCAACAAAGTATTAAGTATAAGAATATGGAACAGGTTAATATATATATCACACATCAAAGCACTTAGCAAAAAGCCTTGAAATTGGTGTGGTTTTTTTGGATTATACTATAGATACATCTTACCTGGTGGCACCAAATCCATTAAAAGCATAAATTTGAAGGGTTAGAACTCTCAGTTGACAATATTGAGTTTTACCTGAGCCCCGTGCTTCCAGAAAACAGTAAAGATTAAAGGAATCCCCTCACCCTTTTGTGTTCTGGAACAGGGCTTGCTGCAAAGAACCACCCCCCATATACTTTAGATAAAACTCACAGATGCCCTCCTTGTTTACTTATAACAAGATCAAAATTCCCTTTCTTTGTTTCATGAATGATTAGCCAAACTGTTTTAACCTCACTGATTAATCATAACAAAATGCTTATTCACCAAGCTTTGGTTAAGCTTCTCTCCTTCTTCCAGGACCCTAAAACACTCTCTGATCTATTTATCTGCTCATGCCATTGTTGATTTCTGTATAAAATAAATAGATAGATAGATAGATAGATAGCCCTTCTGCCTAGCCCTTGAGATGCTTGCAGATCTTCTGGTCACAGCCTTCTCCCTATTACAATAGCCCCCTGTCCTGCTATTTCAATAAATAGTCCATTTCCTCCCTCGCAATAATCTTTTTTAATAAAGTCTCTCCTTACTAAGTCCAGGTTTGTTTTTGTTTGACACAATACTAGCCAATGGATAAGAACATTCCCTGAATCTTCCATATTACTTTCTAGCTAGATTTCCACATCATCAACTATGAAATCTACAATCTCTCATGTAGGTTTAAATCCTTTATTCTCCTGAAAAATTATCCCAGTTCGTATCCCCCCCAAAATAAATTTCATCATATACCACAGATCTCTTGATACTACACAGGTTGCTGGGATGAGATATTTCAGTATATACCCATGAAAAGACCTCAAAAGTCACCTTAGTTGTTAAGCAAGATCTTGTAACTATATTGCTCTATGAATCTGCTTACTGATTATGGATATGAGCTAATGTAAACTAATTCTTAGTGTAAACTAATTTTTTCAAAAAAAGAAGAGGAAGGAGTCTTTAGAAACTGCTTTGAGGAAATATCTGAATAAAAAGTACCTTATATCAGAATAAAAGTACCTTAGCTTCCATTTTTCAGTTTAGAGGTAAATTTTGCCCTTTGGGACTCAAAAGCCTTGATGAACAAGTATGAATGAGCAATAGCACAAAAGGATTTCCTGTCCAAAAAAAAGAAAAAAGAAAAAAATCATATGCCTGTTTAAGAGACTTACTTGTATTTACCTACCTAAGGTTATCCTTGTAACACAGCATAAACCAAATAGGTATTCCCCAACCCAGATATGTGTGTGAAAGATAGGGGTAAAAAAAGCAGTTAGTAGATTGTAATTCACAGGAGATCATCTAGTCCCTTAACCCTACCTTTTGTAGTATAAGAAGTAGAGAAATCCAAACTCAAATGACATAAAAAGCAGAAAAATCCAGTTATATTTATTTATTCAAATAAACCCAGAGAAGCAGAACTACTAACATGGCAGCAATCATTGATGTTATTAAATGCTTACCGTGTACCAGACGTTATGATAAACACTTTGACATAAATTATTTCATTTATTCCTCACAAACATCTTTTAAAGAATTATCATTACCTTTATTTTACAGATGAGGAAAATAAAGATTTAGATCAAGTTCCACAAGATTACATAGCCAACAAATAGTGGACTCAGAATTTGAACTTCGGCAGCCTAACTCAAGCGCTCATGGTCTTCAGCACCCTATAATACTGCCTGTCAAAAAAAAAAAAATACTACTGCAAAAAAAAAGCCTGTTTTAAACCAGACTTCCACATCACACACCAACCAATTTTAGAAATTCCCCACATTTTCACAATGTTTTTGTACTCATATCTGAGTCACATTGGATGTGCTATTTATTACATTGCTAGTTATAGCATATTGTTAGTTATAATTATCAGTGTCATTTTCATACCGTCAAGTTTAACTGCAAATATGAATATTC